ACAGTAAAGCATTAAATGTTAAATGCGATAGGCAGATAAATACGTTGTAGAAATTATTAAAACTAATAATATATATAATTTTATACATAAATTCATTTGCTTAATTTTCATGCAATTAGAAGAAAGCTAAAGTAATTTTCATCCATACAACTTGATCAATCTATCCTGAGAGTCTGAATAAAATTACGACGTAGTCAAATTGAATGACAGTAAAGCTTTGAGTAAAGCTTAAAAATTCAGAGTTTACGGTCAGTGTTCATTAAGTCAAAACCATTTTGAATGGCAAATTAAACTCCAGTTTAGAAGACGATTTGGAACTGAGAGATGTTGGCCGTTGAAAGGCATACCATGTTACCTCTCTCACTTCCCTCACTTTTATTAAATTTTTCGTCCTGAAATCGAGAGCGGAAAATAATGTGAATATTTTAATTTCCGAAGGACGCGTTTACAGAAAAAAACATAACAAATAAAAGTATTTATTGGATAAACTACAGGTAAAATCACAATATTATATTTTAAAAGAAATTACATTTCATCAAGAATGCTAGTATATTAACATTAGATTATTTAATATGATATCTTCATTTCTACTTTCTTGTAACATGAATCTTGTCCATTCTTATTGTTAGCTCCGCTACTCGTTATGCCTCAGAACGTCCATAAAGTATTAGAGAAGGTGAATATGCAGCTGACTGAGCGAAATAGTAGATTGAATGTCTGTTAGTGTTTGCTTCGCTCGAACTGGTCGGTTCCTGTATTAGCCTAGCATAAGTTTAAACAGTTAGAAAGGAAATTTTCGGCATGATCTTCGCAGTTATTTTGAGAGGATTTGTTAGTAAGACGAAGATTGTCACTAAATGGATAAACTCATTTTAAAATATAAGGAAGCTTGAGGAAGACAAAAATGGTGCGAATATTTTGTTAGTTTTCAGAACCTGGCACTTAAGCATTTGGAGGAAAAGTACGCGAGGAGGGAGGGAAATTACGCGGGGAAATACGGTAAATACATGGAAGACGTAAGAAAAAATAGTATTACAAGTTGAATGTATTTTATACAGGTAATCTCATCACACTGAAAATAATTTAAAAACGAATTTTAAAAAATCTTAAAATGTTTATAATCTCTGTCCTGTGGATGCACTTTAAAATAAGAATGTCAAACCTTTAGAAGCTTCTACGTGTCAAGCTGCCTCGGCTCCGCTAAAACTGTGTGCTAAAGGCCTATTCCACCGACAAATATAGTATACCAAGGAGCTGCATATTGTATTTAATATTCTATTAGCCGTTAAAATTGCTTCACAACGACGGAAGCTCACAATAAATTTGTTAACCTAGAATTGCAACCGGTTGGGACTGCTGATTATTGTACTGTGCACACTTGCTGGTCCAGAATAAATGACTGTTATGAGTATTAGCAATTAATGGAATCATAAGGGCCACATAGACCGACGTATGAAATCAGAACGCTTCCTACTTTCCTAGGCCGGAAACGTTAGATGTCTTGTCCGCATAGCTATTAGAAACTGCACAACGAAAGTGCTGAGGCTCAGAAAACTGTTTGTGCTGCACAGCATCAAATATCCCCGTGTGTGGTACTACAGCATCTCAAACGTCGCGGATTCTTTGCTTCAGCTTTTCTTAACTTTTTAGCACAGGAATCAACGTCTAGAGTGGCTCTTTGATCAACAACGCACATAGACGCATCAATAGCCAGATGAATCTTCCTTATGCTTAACAGGTGCATGTAAAAAGTAAAGGCTTAATTAATTAATGCGGATTCAATTCTGATCGAATTGTAGCCGCATTAATTGGATTCATCTCCATGCCCAGCAATATAGTATAACAACTGCTATTATTGCCAGAGAAGATCATTGGGACTTCTGCATGTTTTGTACCTCAAAAGTACCGTAAATCGTGATCGTTCCAACTTTCTTTAGCATTGAATTTATAAAATAAACATGATTTTACTAGCTGCCTACCTTCATGGCACTTTGGCTAACTATCCTCCTGTTCTGGAATAAAAATAATGGAAAGAATTATAAACTGTAATACGAAATATATCTCAAGATATCGCATCTGAAATACTAAAGGGCAATACTAACTGTTAAAAACAATGGTACTTCGGATGGCGACGTCTGTTATCAAGGAACAAATTATCTGTATATGAGACGTATAAAATGTCTTGAATATGGAACGGTGTCTCGATTACGAACACCGAAGTAAGCAAAAAATGATTTTTATGGGTATTTTGAGGTAGCCTGTGACACTGAATTAACATTCGGGGTCTTCTTTTAAACGTCAGGAAAATATTTTCCTCTTAATTTTCATTTACAAAATTTGGCAATAAGTGATTTAGAGCATGGAACTCGGCCTGGAGGAAACTATGGTTAGACCGTATTGCAAATAGGTAATTTCGGAGCTCTGAGACAGGATACTTTGTTATATATGGAATTTTGTCTCTAAGCGAAGCCATAGGCTCAGAAATTAACAATGAAGACGTGAAGAATTATTACAAGGTTATAAAAATGAACTCAATAAGAAAGAAGAGAACATCTCTAGAAATAGCAATAAAAATTGATTGTGGACGAAATGGCTTTAGAAGAGTATCCCATTTCTGCGATCCATGGAATTTGGGCTAAATGGGGCAAGGAGCAAAGTTTTCATGTAAACAGTAGCTGATAAAGCAGTAGCAAGTTACAGCATAAGCATTTTCAATGACAATGCTATGTTCACTTCAGAAACATTCAAAACATAGACAATAAAATGCGTTGGATAAATTTTGAGTGAAAGAAGCTCATTGAGTCTAGAGTGATTACTAAAAGCTAAAGGAAAAATAAAATCAAGACCCTAAAAAAAGATCCGGATGTTTTCGTGGAGGAGAACTCTTCATTCAACAATAACATCTGTTCCTAAATAACGTTTCACTTATGCCATTCGCTCTCATTCTTACGATGCGTAAAATAAATTAAGGTTTTGCCTAATCTTATTAAGTTAATATTTTGTTTATTTTTCTTATCTTAGATTTAATTATTTCTGTTCGTTTGTCCATTTAATTATCTCCATTCGTTTCCATATATTTTGCACATGAGGTAAATATATAAAATTTCATGCAAGATCCTAATATTAATAAAATGTGCAGAAATAAAAAGGATAACTTCAGTATAAAACACATTTAACAAAACAGAAGAATTATTTACTTAATTTTAATTGGATGGAAAAAAATTACGGTTATATTCTTCAAGTATATCACTCAAAAAAAAAAAAAAAAAAAAAAAAAAAAAAAAAAAAAAAAAAAAACCACAGAAATAGGCTGCTTATATGAAAGTGTGCACAAAATACAAAGTTTAAGTAGGCAGTCATTGGTGGTCCACGAACGGATTAAATTCATTTTACATATATTCCAATGGGGAAAATAGTTTTGGTTTATGAATATGTCGGATGGATCATGAACGTCCTTCTAGAAGGAACTACATTCGAGAACTGAAGTTCCAACTCATAAACATATCGCCGTAACTATTACACATTCGTGTAATTTTGCCGGCTCCTTCATAAATACGCCCTAAGGCACATTATAGTAAAAAGTTCTTGACGTGGTAATCTCACTACGGAGAAGACGGATGCTAGGAAGGGTGGCTGACCAAGAAGCCGGAGAGAAACTGTTGTATCTCTCAATAGAATTCTAAAAGGTAAAAAAAGATCTCTTACCTATTCTTTCACCCGGGAACCGAGCTTGTTCCATTCTAAATTCATATTCGAAGCTTTTGCATAAAGACTGACACTTCTGTATAATATAAACAGATTATATTTAGATACATTTATACATTTTATATACAATTATTAGGTTACATAAAAATTACGCGCTCTCCATCTAACAGTCATTCGAGTTCGGGTTCAGAGTTCTAACTACGTTCTTACATAGGATTATTCTCGAGTTTAGATGTAATGGTGCTGATAGTTCGGAGTTTAGATGTGGTGGCGCTGATAGTCCGGAGTTTAGATGTAACATCACCTCCCACCATTGAGATCCGACGATGCGAAGGAACTCAATACACACAGGTCCAGTCGATGAGAGGGCCGAACAACTCGTCCAGCTCTGGTCATCACTCGAGGACTTGAAGCAGGTTCTGGAATACTAGCAGCCTGATCAGCCTGACCAGTTGCATGGTCGTTTTTATCTCGAGATGCTCTGTCGGGGAACGGAGGGCCAACGGATTCGGAAGTAGAGATCTCCAAAGGGAAAAGCCGGGGCACTGGACGAAGTAGAGTTCCATTTCTTGTCTTGACCCTCGCTAGTCTAACAATCTCGTCTTTACTGGGGAAAAGCTCGACTGTCTTGGCTAAAGGCCAATGAATGCGTCGTCGCTGGCTGTCCTCCAACAGAATGACATCGCCTACTAGCAACTGTTGAAATTTTCCCTTCTTTATTGCCTGTTGTCTCAACAGACCAAGATATTCATTACGAAAACTGTTTCGTAGATCGTGTCTTATTCTCTGCCGGTATTTGGCTCGGCGGTTTAGTTCTTTGGAATCTACGTAGTCCATATCAGGAACTCCTGATGACGGCAATTCTTGGAGGAAACATCATAGGGGTCAGTGGTGATGGATCTTGATTATCCTCTGATACGCATGTGATAGGTCGCGAATTAATCACTTGTTCACAGTCACATAATATAGTATATAATTCTTCATAATTTAAGGACGTTCGACTTAATACCCTTCTTAAATTTTCTTTCACCATTTGCACAAGCCTCTCCCACCAACCTTCCCACTAGGCCGCGGTCGGAGGGTTGAACTTCCATCGTATCCTTTGGATAGAAGCAGCTGAACACATGGCGTTCCAATTAACTTTCCTAGAACACTGTTAGTCCCTACAAAATTAGTTCCGTTGTCGGAATATATCACATAAGGTCTACCTCTTCTGGCAATGAATCTACGTAAGGATTGGATGAAAGTTTCTGTAGATAGAGAAGTAACTAGTTCGAGGTGAATGGCTCTATAAATGGCACATGTATACAAGACTATCCACGCTTTAGACCCCTCACGGAGATAGAGAGGACCCGCTAGATCTACACCGACGACTTCAAAAGTCGCCCCTACTCTGACTTGGTCTTCGGATGGAAATCGTGGCTCGACTTCTACTCTTTGTGTAACAAATCTTTTACATCTTACACATTTTCTGATAATATTTCGAATACTTTTCCTGGATTTTAATATCCAAAAGTTTTCTCTAAGATTTATCATTAAAGTGCTGACACCAGCATGCTGGTGTTCTAGATGTTTCTAGTAAATCAGTCTCTCAACAAGAAGGTGTTTTGAAGGTAAAATAGGATATCGGAAATTTTCATTATCCTGACGCTGTAGGACGTTCGTGTTGGCTCTTAAAATTCCATTTCGGTCTACGATTGGTCTCAGCGCACGAATAGCGTGATCTTTTATGCCCGTAAATGATTCTTTCTGCATCAATCTACAAAGTGCCTTTTCAGCCTTCTCCAATTCATCAACTGAGACATCAGGAGTTAGGATTTTATCTTCGTTCTTTAAATTGTGATAAAACCTGAAAATCCAAGCGATCATTCTCACGGTTTTTCTATATGAAGAGAAGTATTTGTAGTACTAGTCCAAATTGTCTTCATGATCTAGAAGAGTCAGAATCGTTTTCCTTTTTTCTTTGTTTGTAAGTTCTTCATCAGGCTTTTCTTCTACATGAGGCCACTCGTCTTCTGGTAAGTAAAGCCACGATGGACCTTCCCACCATGCCGATTTCTGTAATTGCTCAATAGTACATCCTCTCGATAGGAGATCCGCTGGATTTTAACTTCCAGGTGCATGCCTCCAGTCAGATATTCTGGTAAGCGATCTTTTCTCTTGTACTCGATTATGTATCTCGATTCTTAGCGCGGGCGTCCCAGCAGGGATGCCAAAAAATTGTTGTATCTCTCAATAGAATTCTAAAAGCTAAAAAAAGATCTCTTACCTTTTCTTTCACCCGGAAGCCGAGCTTGTTCCATTCTAAATTCTTATTCGAAGCTTTTGCATAAAGACTGACACTTCTGTATAATATAAACAGATTATATTTGGTTTAACTCTAGTATCCGGTGCACACGGGATTTGGCAACTTTTGGCGACTTTTATGATGAGCAGTAAAAACGGGACATATACGATGAGTAGTAAACGGGTCATTCAAAGAATATATATAGTTATACAATGTTTTACATGTCTAATGATTTGCTTTTCATGTGTATTAATTTTTGAAAACGTCTTAAACCTTTTGGAGCAGCAGCTCTTGGTAACTTTTTAGGCGAGCTTTCTACAATTTTTATTTTTTACTTATTTTGCAGCATATTGCGCAAGATGTTTTCTTGACCAAAATTGGTTTTTCAAAAATTGTTATTACTGCTTTGCTTGATAAAATATTATATACTATGTATATAGTGATAGTATATAATGTATAGTATATACATAGACGTTCTTTGGGTCATTTTTGGTGTTGGCGATAATTTTCAAAATCGCGCCAAGGCTGCACCGTATACTAGGATTTTACCTTATATTTAGATACATTTATACATTTTATATACAATTATTAGGTTACATAAAAATTACGCACTCTCCATCTAACAGTCATTCGAGTTCGGGTTCAGAGTTCTAACTACGTTCTTACACAGGATTATTCTCGAGTTTAGATGTAATGGTGCTGATAGTTCGGAGTTTAGATGTAACAGAAACCAAGGTCCGTAGAAGAACAGGCTAGCTCACTGGACCTTGCAGAGAAGCGATCTGATATATGAATGATTGAAGTTTCATTGTGGCCTATAAGCTTTTAACTTTACGACCACCACTAGATGGCACCACAAACTGATTTCAATTTAAATATCTATCTGGCTCAGTTTTAACATTAAAACTATTAAGCTCATCTACTAACTTGTACACATTTCTTGGCAAATAATTTTATTTAGCATATAATATTATGTGGATTTCTGAAAAAGTAAATAAATAAAATAAAAACATAATTTTTATGCCAGAGATAGTGTTTGTCTAATTCAGCGTTGTAGCAATGCTTTTGCCAACCGATACAATCTTTACGGTCCCTGAATTCCAAGCTCCATCGAAAAAAGGTTAGCTCACTTGGGTAAAACAAATAAAAAACTAGGGACTCAATCGGCTAACTTTATGACTACCAAAAGACCAGATGGGGAAACCACAAATTGATTTCAATTTAAATTCATATCTGGTTTAGTTTTAAAATTAAAACTGCTATACTCACCTCCTAGCTTGTATACATTTATTGGCAAATAATTTTATTTAGCATATAATATATTACGTGGATTTTTAAAAAAATAAAAGCATCAGCGAATTTTTATGTCAATAACAAGGTTTGTCTACGCAGCGTTTGTAGTAATGCTTTTTTCCACCCAATATCTTAATAAATAATTAAAATGAATTATAATTTATTTGTCTATATATCTACATAACATATCTCTCTTTAGCTTCATATTTGCCCAATATTTAACTTATTAGATACATAAATTAATTTGTTTTTAATTAAGATAATAAATAATGTTAAGCAATATATTTGGTATTCAATGCTTTCAGTATATTATTTCGCTTCGCTATAATATGAGTATAATTTTTAAACAAATATGTTTGACTGTGGGTTTTAACAAAGCACAAAATGTTAACATATTTAGAAAAATTAAAATATAAAATGCAATTTTTTCTTCATTTTAACACGGTTCGTACACAGTTCTGCACATGGAAAATAGGTACATTTAAGGACTTTTATGGATCATTAATGGAAAAATTAATAACCTATCAGCAAAGGGGAATTTTAAAAAATTTCATTAAAGATATTATCTATGCCTGAACTTCACTTTTGTAATAACATCCTAAGTAAGTAGATCCTTAAGTAGGATGCATTATTATTAAACATAATTTAATAAACATAATTCTAAAACAAATTTGAGAATAAACTTTACAAAATTATCAAGTAGCATTTAATATTTTACACTTATAATAGGTGGACATATTTGAAAGAAGATTAGTGGCATTTTTTTTTTTTTTTTTTAATATCTCATTTCGTCACCTATGTGCTCAGTCTAGAGGTTTCGTAAATAGCAGGCAGATTTTACGTCAAACGGCATCGGCGTAGGTTAAAATGAGAAATAAAATCATAATCAGCATGATTCATAACAGAAAAAGACCGGCTGTTGCCACCGTTGCTGCTTGCCTGAGAGAGCTGCTGATCTGAACAGACCTGAAAGCCTGATGTAAGGACGGTTGATAAGTTTTGAAAGTTAGTTATGCTCTGTCTTATCTGACGCAGTTAAGTTTTACATTATATTTTACAGTTTTGTGCTGTATCTTGTGACCACGGTAAAGATTAATGAAAGGCAATAACTCGCTTCATCATGCAGAGATAACTTTTAAGGGTGAGCAGTTAGTTACAAATAATTAAATTAGGTAGTTAGATCCTCTTAGTCATTATAGATTTACATTGTCACTATTAAATTTTAATTATTTTTTAAATATTTGTTAAATAAGCATTATTTAAATCTCAGTCTAATAACATTTCACAGTTTAAAATATATATAATTTATGACATTGATTCTTAAACAATATCAGGATAATTACACATTAAAACCTACAAAACATACATATGTTTGTATGTTTTGTAGCAACAACACACAACAAAATATTTATGCGTCATTTTAATTTGAAGCCATCTCAGACATTTTGACTAATTTATGACAATTTCCTTCCCTTTAAGCATCTTTTCCAATAATTAGAAATCTGTTTCAATACGCAAAACCAATGTTCCCAATAGTTTCTGCTTCCTTTACCTATACCTATCTATGATTCTATATCAACGTTTACTCATAAAGTCCACCAATGACCGAGCCGTAAAGTCTCTGAACACTGGTAGTTCGGTGCGAGGTTTAAATCCCGCGAACGAGCTGACTGCATGGGTGTTTTCGTGGTTTTCCCCATGTGTAACATGTTAGTACGAGCCAGTTGCACTAAGAAAGTCCTCCACGAAGGCATCCCTCCCTCCCGTGTAGTGAGTGTCTTAGGGCGGAAAACGTAGATAATAATAATAATGTATATTCAATCTCTCGACAATGTGCCTATGAGATTTTAATTGATCTGGTAAAACTTAAACAGTCCAAAACCCCTAACAGACGTGAAGCAAATTATCGCCATATCTGAAAGTTAGTACAAAGTCAGATAAAGTTTTAAATATACTTCTTTATTTAAACAAAACTTAGAACATAAAGGTATATTCTTATGCTAATAAAATCAGCTATAGCTCGTGGTGATGTAACTAAACAGAAACAGTCAAATTCAAACTAAAAATGTGGACTAATAGTCAAAGACTACACAATTTCATCTACCGTCATAACAAATTCAAATGTCGGCAGCGATAACGCTAAGATGAATAATTACAAATTATCAGAGCTGGCACGAACTAATGCAGCATGCAAGCGGAGGCCAGGAACACAACTTACAATCCCAAAAACTCAATTTAAATACTATCTAATTGGTTTGCATTCCGGTGGTAAAACGGATAGGAGAAGTTATAATAAAGGCTGAAATTATATAATAACAACTGGTTATTTACATAATAATAACTGTACATATTATTGAAGAGTAATTTTATTTCTCCTCATGTATTCAGTTTCTTTCTTGAATACGTTTGCTCTTCAGTTTAGAATTTTTGGATTTAATTAAGGATTTCTGTTATTCTAAAAGTGCATTTAGAATGTATAGAAGAAGCTGCTAATTTTACTTAACATTCAGAATAAATATGAAATGATATATAGTCAGGGCTGGTTATAGAACCGGTGTGGCAGAATATTTAGAATTTAGTGATGGTCCGAGCAACAAAATATGGAAAGGGCGAAACTTTTAGAACAGGCACGGGGTGCAGAACGGGCACGGGGACCCACAGAGATTGCATCAGATGGGAAAATACCCAACGCTAACCCTGTATATATAACTTTGAGATATATAAGATGAATCCTTTAAATTGTTAGTTTTCAATTTCTTTATTAATCCGAAAATTCTTTAAAATCTTCCTTCTAATTCCTTGTAATCCTTCCTCCTAATCTTATCACGAGATGCCTGTCCATATGTGTTAAGATTAGAAGCATTTTTGATACTTTTCATGCTTGTACCTCGTCAAAAGAAGAGAAAATAAAGGGAGGATAAACATGTTAAGAAAAAGACTTTTTAGTAACAGAAGT